ACATAGAATTATTCCTCACCCCAACACCCAAGTTCAGCTCAGCTGTTTCCTCCACCCCAGGAACATGTATTTAGCTTTGAAAGAACAAATGAACAAGCTAAATTGTCATCCGATGTTTCCACAAGCATCCTAACGTTTGGTGGTGACCAAATAAAACAACAATTGCAATAGTAAGAAGGGCCAACAGATCCTCACACAAACCACATCTCGAAATCTGCTGGGAGGAGTGAGGAAGCAGACAGGCACCCTTTTCACTGGCCAACAGTTAACTGAAAGTTCAAACTTTGCACTTTCCCTGCCTCCCATGTGGTTTTTTTCAGTTCTTAACTCAAATCTAAGTATGTAAGTCAAGTCAATATTTTCCTATGAGAGTGGTTCTTAAGTCAAAATGTTCTTAACTCAATCCGTTCTTAAGTCAAGACCCCACTGTAGTAAGAATGGCCAACAGATTCTCACACAAACCACATCTCGAAATCTGGCATCCTAATGCTGACATCCTTTAGATTCAAGGCTATTGTCTAACCATCCTGATGGCTGAAGATGGTATTCAGGCTAAGCTTCCTAATATTGGAAAAAAATAATAATCAAAAGCTATAGATATGCATCGCTGATTCCACTTCCTTCAGCCATGCAACTACTAAACATGAAATAAGATCCTCTGTGTCTCCAAGCAACATCTCCACATATGAAGATATTCTGCCTAGTCCTGAATCTTCTTCTCATTCTGATTTCATGTGCTGGTTATCACACAGGGCCCCTTTATGCTTGAACAAGCAGGCAGCAGACCCTAGAAAACTCCAGGAGTATTAATCTGAACACTCTCCTTATCTAAAACATTCACTGCACATTTAAAGTCGGACAAACTGCGCAGAAAAGCTCAGAATTTGAGTATTGCTACCAGTTACCTTGGTACGGTCACAGAATCTTCTGTTGTCGTGAGACCCAGCTGGCCATCACTGCCTGCACCCCAGGAAAACAGCTGTCCTTGGTCACTAAGGGCCAGGCTGTGAGACTCTCCACAGGCGACATGGATGATGTGTTGTCCTGTACTGCTGAGCTACCTTGACTGCCAAAAGAAGTTCTCGGCTTGCGAGGCACACACCAGGAAATGGGAACGCTTCTGTACAGATGGTGCCCCAGTAAAGCCATTAACACTGCTTGTTACACTGAAAATAGCTGTTCTAGAGAACAGCCTTCATTTCCCACTTCAATTCACTGCACTGTAAAGGATGATTCATAAGCAGACAGGAGAGTTTCTCTCCAGATGGAATGTGCTTTTAGCTCCCACAGCCTGTCTCTTTATATCACTAGCCATCTCAAGTGTGTGGTGGGGGACATATGTGATTCCTACCGGAAGGCCTGAAACCTTCTGATGAATATTCCAGGATGGAACAGATTCTTGTCTCAGAAGAAAAGCTAAAAGGACAATTTTTCAGTACCTTAACCATCCATTTTCTCATCTTCCTAGATGTTGAACTACAACATATAGTTCACCTCAGTTTATCTGAATTGGTCACATCTGCTGGGATCCATTCACTACACACTAAGGAAGCCCCCCTGGAATGAATCTATAACACAGCCTCTGGTCTGAAGCCATCTTCTTCAACATCACATATGCTAAAATTGGCCTTCTAAGACACATGAGGCCACACAAGTGTAAGGCAACAAAGTGCAATGAGCTGCTTTCTCCAACAACCAACAAATGGCTCCTTTCTGATAATTTCCAATAGCTCTTTTTGGTTATCGGATGCAAAGGAACTTACAGTTTCTGTCTTTTATGTGTCTCTACAAAGCGAGCTATGATTTTCCCATAATTTGGGCCAATCCCAATGTCAGCCATTCACGCATGCAGCACTTCTATAGTGCTGCTTCATACATTGCATTACTGTGAGAAGCACAGGGCAATTGCATAATGCAGACTGAGCGCTACAATTCAGCTTCCCGACAGTGGTGGTGACCAATGATGCCACTGCATTCACATAATCAGCTTCTATGAGCACAAGTGTGTGTGTGTATGCTAACACACACACACACACATACTGTCCTCCCTTGCTGCAAATGTGCTCCAGAAGACTAGAAAACTCTCTGGAACAGATTGTTAGATCTGGAGTGGGTTGCAGAGAAAGAGGGATCAAAAATGTCAATGGTACTATATCTCCACATCATCTCTGGCAGCAGCAACAACACAAGTCCCAACAATGTCAGCCGCAGTGTCAGGGGCTCACATGCTTGTTCATTTTCTAATGTGATTCTTTTCCATTCCCTGCCAGAAATACTCCTCTACATTCTACATACAGCAGGCAGGACAACTGCTGCAAAAGATAAGAAATAGACCACAATCTGACATTTCAACAACTGAAACATTTCAACCACCTATGACAATGTGTCAAAGAGACGGCTGCAGAAAAAATGGAATTGAGATTTGAGAAGGAAACAGTTGAAGTGGTTACATTCACAAATTCCAGGATGCACCTAGAGAATTAAATAGAGATTGGAACGTTGTACTACATTGACTTTACAACTCCTGTTAATGCAGTTCCTGCAAATCAGAGTCTGGCAATGTGCCTCCATGGCAGTAAGTATTATTGTTGTGCCAAACAGTTACAGAGTCCATGAATTTCAGTGTGTTGAAGGGGCTAATAAAATTAAGTAGAGCAAATCGCAGGTTTTTGATTACTGAAAATCTGCCCCTACTGGTGATTACACACTTCCGCAAGCATATTAAGCAATGATTTTCCGGGGGGCAAAACCCTAAACTCCAACACAACTCACACTTCCTGAAAGCCTGGGTTCTGAAAACACATATAATTTGCATCTTTTTTATTCCCAAAACTGCCAGGAGAGTAACAATATCAACACCTTAAATGTCCACTACCTGTGTTAATAATGCCATGAATTTCTCAAGCTCAAGCTTGTTGAGGTTCTCCTGCCAAGATGTGAAATTTTGTGTGTACAGAGAGTAAAAATAATTAAGGGGTGTAGAAAAAGCAGTCCTGAAAACATACATTGTATTTTAAAAATGAGGTTTGAACAGCAGTTGACTAAAAGTTACTGCAAAACAATTAGCTAGTTCCAGCCTAGTCTGAAAGCAAGGACACTGTATGCTGTATAGAAAAACATTTCTTTCATGGCTTTCAGGTCAGCGTGGATATAAACAAAAAGGGTGTTCAAATATTTGGTTTGTAATAAGTAGAACAGTGCAATGTCTTGACATGATAGATAGGTGGTGTTTCAGGTCCTGCGATTTGCTCTACTTAATTTTATTAGACCCTTCAACACACTGAAATTCATGGGCTCTGCAACTGTTTGGCACACCAATAATACTTACTGCCATGGAGCCACATTGCCAGACTCTGATTTGCAGGAACTGCATTAACAGGAGTTGTAAAGTCAATAGAAATTTCTATTATAAAATTTTCTTTGGTGATTTATGGGCGTGTATTTACAGGTCCAGTAAAAGAGAATGTTCATAGTTGTAAGGGAAAGGTAAACATCTGAAAGAACTATAAATATAGGGAGGCAAAACACAGACACACAAACACACACACTCACACACACGTTCAACTCATCAACACACTACACTACACAAACCAGATACAAACAACACAGATATCATGTAGCAACAATAGCAGCAGCAGATGAGGACAACATGGATTTGCCTCCATAGATTCAAATTGGCTCATTTGGCTGAGCACTTCAGAGTAATTTTGTGTTTTTGTTCAGTTATCTGATTTCATTGTGGAATTAAGCCTGGGGGGGGGAATAAATGCCAGCTGTGACAAACACAGGCTTCTGATTTTTCCCTAGAGGTCTAAAAGGTTTTGTAAGGCTCTTAAGGAGATGTCAGGCATGAGATTCTCTAACCTGATACCTACCACTCACTATAAACCAATTTGTGGCCCAAATATTGCACTTCATGCATCTGAAGAAGCTGACTACAATCCAGAAAAGCACACACTGCAATAAATTTGTTAGTCCTAAATTGCTGCAATGTTTCTCTTCGCATTTTTATTTTATTTGCTTCTGCTGGAATTACCACATTTGCATCTCTGAAACCTGCTATGAAAGAAACACTTGTAAAGCACAGTGCATGCTAAAAAGCATTCACTAATGAATGAAAAAAAATCATGGTCAGCAAGAAATAGAAGACGTTGCAGTTGCAGGAGATAGAATGTGATATTCTGGGATTTTCCTCTGCAACCCAAGGGCTCAGATGGGGCTGTGCATTTTATAGCTCTGCACAGACATCCATTCTTCAAAGGAAAAGCAGGCATGTTTTGTCTTAGAATGTATAATTAAATTCAGGAAAGTTAAATGTTGTACTACAATCTGCAGAGCACAGCTCCACCCTCAACCAGCACGGCTACTGCCAAACTTCCTGAGAGATTCTAAGAACTATGCTCTGAAGAAGTAATTTTCCCCAGCTCTGTCCAAATTCAGGAGCTTGAATAGATTTGTCAGCTAGCTGGTACATGTGCTACACGTTCCAGTAGCAGAGTAAAACCCCTTTTTTTCCTCAACGCTTTTGAAAAAGCACAGCACGTTACTGTCAGTTGGCATCACCTTCCGAAATCCACCCTGCAGGAGGGTAGAGGACAGGTAGTGTTGCGATAAACAGATTAGTCTTCTGCAAACTAATCCCTGGGGAGGACGGCACTGACGTGGAATAGCTAGATTTCAAAAATGAAACCTTTGGGGAATGAAACTCTGCAAGGAAATTATGGCCAAAGAAGCGTTTTGTTCCTAACGGTTGGTAGTATTTGAAGACAACTCTAAAGGGACCAGGTATGTTTAGCTAACAGCATACTTACTCTGGCTCTACCTTAAGTTTTCTGACCAGGCTACTTTTCACATGGCACTGAGGGGCTATCTTAATAGACCTGCAAAGCAAGCAATCTCTTATACATGAGGAGGATTGGGATTCCACAACCACTGCTTGGAAGATGTGCCAACTGAGGATGTTACACTTGGAATTTTTGGATACCCAACGTTCTCCAGGAATTCCCACGGCCTGCAGACCCACATTTACTGACGTCTTCATTCACCTGCAATGGGTCCAGTCGTGGTGCTTGTATTTTCTGTTGTTAATGTTAAAAAAAAGAAAGGAAAGGAAAGAAAGAAGCTGCTATGGTGCTTTCTGGGTACCATAGTTCTTTGGGAGGCGCTCTTTATAAAGCCTAAAGGGCTACAAGATTACAACTGCCAGAAATATGTCTGCAGGTGCAGAGCTGTAGCCTGGACCTTCCAAAATTCTGGCTGGGAAATTCCTGGAGAATTCTGGAAACAAGAATCCAAAACACATCTGGGTACCATAGTTCTTTGGGAGGCGCTCTTTATAAAGCCTAAAGGGCTACAAGATTACAACTGCCAGAAATATGTCTGCAGGTGCAGAGCTGTAGCCTGGACCTTCCAAAATTCTGGCTGGGAAATTCCTGGAGAATTCTGGAAACAAGAATCCAAAACACACATACCTACCTACCTACCTACCTACCTACAGTTGTGTTCAAAATTATTCAGCCCCCACTGAAATTGAATGTTTTGGCCATTTTGACATTGATTTTGATCATTCAGTCATCTTGCTTACATTTACATGAAAGAGGCACTTGTAGGTCAGAGAAATATAACCTTAAGTTTATAATGAAATAACCACAAATGTCTTTTCTGTGCTCACATCATTATTAGTTTTTATTCAACCCCCAAGTGACATTCAATCTTAGTACTTAGTACAACATCCTTTTACAGTTATAACAGCTTTTAAACGTGAAGCATAGTTTGACACAAGTGTCTTGCAGCGATCTACGGGTATCTTCGCCCATTCTTCATGGGCAAAAGCCTCCAGTTCAGTCAAATTCTTAGGCTTGCGCACTGCAACTGCTTTCTTTAAGTCCCACCAGAGGTTCTCAATCGGATTTAAGTCTGGTGACTGCGATGGCCACTCCAAAATGTTCCAGCCTTTCCTCTGCAACCATGCTCTAGTGGACTTGGAGGTATGCTTGGGATCATTGTCCTGTTGAAAGGTCCAACGTCTCCCAAGCCTCAGGTGTGCGACAGACTGCATCACATTTTCATCCAATATCTCCTGGTACTGAAGAGAATTCATGGTACCTTGTACACGCTGAAGCTTCCCTGTACCTGCAGAAGCAAAACAGCCCCAAAGCATTATTGACCCTCCGCCATGCTTCACAGTAGGCAAGGTGTTCTTTTCGTCATATGCCTTGTTCTTCCTCCTCCAAACATAGCGTTGATCCATGGGCCCAAACAGTTCTAATTTTGTTTCATCAGTCCACAGAACACTATCCCACAACTTTTGTGGTTTGCCCACATGACTTTTGGCATACTGCAGTCGACTCTTCTTATTCTTGGGAGACAGCAAGGGGGTGCGCCTGGGGGTTCTGGCATGGAGACCTTCATTACGCAGTGTGCGCCTTATTGTCTGAGCTGAAACTTCTATACCCACATCTGACAAATCTTTTTTCAGTTCCTCAGCAGTCACACGGGGACTTTTCACCACTCTACGCTTTAGGTAGCGCACAGCAGTCGAAGTCAGCATCTTCTTTCTTCCATGACCAGGTAGCATTTCAACAGTGCCCTTTGCCTTGAATTTGTGAATGATGCTTCCTATGGTGTCTCTTGGTATGTTTAACTTCTTTGCAATCTTCTTATAGCCATTGCCCTTCCTGTGAAGACAAATCACCTCTTCTCTTGTCTTCCTGGACCATTCTCTTGACTTCACCATGTTTGTAACCACACCAGTAAATGTCTAGAAGGAGCTGAGTATCACAGTCATTTTAAAGCTGCCTAATTGGTGCTTATTATGCTTGATTGGTGCTCGGTGACATCCACAGGTGTTTTCAATACCTGATCGAAAACACCTGAATGAATCTCTCTTCTTCAGAGTGGTAGTCTTTAAGGGGTTGAATAATTGTGGCAATGAAGAAACCACAAAAGAAACATTTACTACTGTATTACATAAACAATTGATGTTATTTTAGTTGCATTTGGTTCTTTAAAACGTCCTTGTAGGATTTCATTCTGAATACAATTCCAAATGTACACTATAGTCCCTAAACCCCTTTACAGCATTGGGGGCTGAATAATTTTGAACACAACTGTACCTACCTACCTGCCTGCCTGCTTGCCTACATACACACACACACACACACACAAACAACCACCACAATGCAACCCATTCACCAGTCGGAATCTCAGTTAAGCCAGAATGTTCTCAAATGCTGAAGAAAGGGAGCAATTCTAATCTGAAAGGCTGCTGAAGAAATTTGCTAATTAAGAACCAGCCAGAATAACCTTGAGTACAGAAAACAGAGACAACACAGGTGTGCTTCTCGAGAGAGAGGGCCTGTCATAGGGTGTGTGACAAGCACAGCTTAATTAAAACATCTGATTGTTTAGCCTATGACCAAGAGGGAGTCTCTCTGGTTCTCAGATTCTCCACTACTCCCAGGCAATTATGGCATATTCTCCATTTCAAAATGGAGAATTAAAGTCTGTTGCTTTTTCTCTTTCCAGAAAGCCTGAGAGCTACTCTGGATGAAATCCAAGACCACATTATCACTTAACTACCCCCATTGGAATCTGCAGGCCCTTCCTTTTCATTATATCCTAATACAGGCAAAATAACTTTAGGATCATGCCTCTTCCCACTGTCTCCTTCAGCCTGCTTTTTGTAACAACCGGGTTGATGAAGAAGCCTAATGATGGTAAAAGCTTGCACATATTTTTGCGACTTTTTGAACAGCCTGTCAAAATGGAGATTATGGAATTATGACGCTTACAAGCTTCAAAGCTTGTGAGTTCTGTAGCGGGTCTCTCACAACACCCTGACTATACTCCACATCTGCTTCGCTTCTGGGTCAGCAGGAAAGGACTGTTTTAACTGTTATGGCAAAGCAACCTTTTGTTAAAAATGCCCTTAGTGCATACGTGAGAAAGCTAGCCGCAGATGATGCACATTATTTTCAGATACCTGGACAAAAGGGTTAACAGCCAAGATGGGGTGGGTGAGAGGGAATAAGTGTTTGCCTGTCAACACCTTTCAAAAGGCCCCAACCAACATGCCAGTGGTCATGTGGGGTGTGTGGCATTCTGGGAGTCATAAACTTCCAAATAAGTAAATTTCCTAGCTCTGTGCAGCCATATAGGCTAAATATATCTATACATACGTATGGCATCCCACCGCCTCGGTCCTTGCACAGAAGAAAGCTGCCGCCCCTTCTGATGACAATGACGCCTTCCCTCGGGGGACGAAGTTTAGCAAGGCAGGAGAGGAGGGCAGAACGGGGAGAGGGAGGGAGAGAGAGAGGGAGCAAAAGGAAGGGAGGAAGGATGGAGGGATTGATTTTATCGTCTCAGGGTAGAGCTCGGGGGTTGCAGCGCTCCGCCTGCATCCCTGGGAATAAATGAATTCCAGGGGAAGTTGCATGGTAGTATACAGGCTCAGTGTTCAAAGCACCAAGGGAAGCAAGAGGTCATCTGAACATGATACTCTTTTGACATGCCACCCTGCCTACTCCAAAAAAAATATTACTTTGAGGTCAGTCGGAAAGCTTTCCCAATTCAGTTATACACTAGCTGACTGGAAACTGCTAGGATGAGACGTCAGAAGCTGCAAGAGCGCACCAGAGAAGCCCAGTCCTTTCCTGCTGACCCAGAAGCGAAGCAGAAGCCCACACTTCCAAGCCTGCATACCGGCTAGTATGCTACTGAACTTCCACTGAGGTGAAAGTACCACCAGTTTAGTAATGCAAGACTGTCATCTGGCCAAAGGCATGGTAAGTAGAGGGCCTTTTCCCTCAGGGAGATCCCCGCTTGTGCCGTGGTAACACATGCACAAGCTGTGCAATCCTGCATTATTATGCTGATGGGATGTCCCACTTAGTGGGAGCTCAGTAACATGCTGGCCTTATTTATTTACCTTTAGTATTTCTAGGCTCTTCTTCGACTATGAAACTCCCATGCTGGGGATACAGGTGATAACAACATTTATAAAAAGAGCATGAAAACAAATATTTGTTTTCATGCTCTTTTTATAAATTTTGTTATCAGCTGTATCCCCAGCCTGAGAGTTTCACAGTCGAAGAAGAGCACATATATATATATAGGTTGCATTGTTGTTACTACATCAAGTTGTCTTATATATATATACATGTACCGTTTCCCCGAAAATAAGCCCTAATGTGAAAATAAGCCCTATTATGATTTTTCAAGATGCTCGAAATATAAGCCCTACCCCCAAAATAAGCCCCAGATAAGTGAAACCCAGCTCTCCACCATTGTGTAGCATTGTGCAGCAACCAGAAGATGACATGACTGTAAAATAAAACATCCCCTGAAAATAAGCCCTAATGTGTTTTTTTGGAGCAAAAATTAATATAAGACCCAGTCTTATTTTCAAGGAAACACGGTATATATACGTATAAGAAGAAGAAGAAAAATCTCTGGTTGGTTCCAGAGTTAGAAATAACACACCTGGTTTGTTTCCTTCCCTCTCGTGGCCCAGTTGTCCATTGGTGTTCGCGCCACAAGTATAGACGTCACCGTCTTCCAATAGGAAAATAGAATGGTTCCCACCACAAGCCACTTCCTTGATACTCTTCTGATGAATGAACCTGATGTTCTGAGGTTCAGGAATGATAGTTTGGAGAGTGCTATCTGCCCCAGGAACTCCAAAAGACCAATACCCCCAACATAACATCTTCTCTTCTTTTAGCAAGTCATATTTTCCCCTGAGAGAAAAAAGATTAAATCCCCATAAATATTAAGAATCATCTGCACACTAGAAGAAGTGGTCAGTGAACAAAATGTGACCCTGCACACACTGTCGGACTGTAACTCCCATGATCCTTCATCACTGGCTAAGATGGATGGGATTAAACACCTCCTTGAGGGTCACACCTTCCCCACGCCATGATATACACAGAAGTAAACCCCTTTGCCAAAGCCTATACTATGATCTTACATATTCTAATAGACAGGTTGCCTGTTGACAAAGCAGTGTTCAGACTTCAAAACAGACAAGACAGGTAAAACCAACATGGTAAATCATCTTGTCTTGAAGAAAATTAGTTCTATGCTCTGTTTCCCCCCCAGCATCACTTGAGTAGAAGGAGATGTTATTAAATTGTCAGTTCTAAGACAAAACAGTATAAACACTCTCAGGCTGTTTTGCACAGAAGCTGACACACTGCTTAGTCAGCTACAGCCCCTCGCAGACCTACAGATTCAGTCCCCCAGCAATCTAGGGGAACGAAGTCATGTCACCTAAAGCTAGACGAACTTTGTGGTGTGTTACCCAGTTCAAGTACTGTACATCTTCCCTCAAGCGGAGACACAAGCAGACTGACAATGTTTTTTGCAAGCTTATCATGGCAGAATCTTTAATGGTTTTAGAGCAGTCTTCCGAAAGCTGGTGCCCTCTATGCCTTGGACTACAAGGACCATCCTCCCCACTGGTCCGGAGAACAGTAGTTGTATTCCAACACATCTGGAGGCAACTACGTTGTGGGAGACTGCTCTATAGTATACATTTGATAAAGTTCCAGGCCACTTTTTATTATTATTATTAACTGTATATTCATCCTGCCTTTTCTCCAGCAAGTGCAAGGCACCACCGATGGTCCAATCCTCTCCTCAACAGCAACTTTGTGAGATAAGCTAGGTTGACCAATTGGTCAAGTACACCCAGTAAATTCCATGATTGAATGGAAATCTGAACCCAGACCACCTTTGTCCTAGCCCAGGACTGGTCAAACTACTACCTCAACCCAGTGACTTCCAGCCCCTCCTTGACTCATCTTTTTCTGGCCTAAATAAAATAAATGAATTGCACCTTCTTGAAGTTTGCAGGAGCAGCCACTCACCGGTTAAATAGACCCTAGGCTTCTCCCTGGCATAATTCAACTCTCACAGATACCAATTTTCAAAACTGGAAGTGAGCTTTTAACCATTTCTGGTTTTGTTTTTTGCATTTTTGAAATTTTGAGCAGCTCCATGGGGGCCTTGAGGGCACAAAATTATCACCAAGACCTTTCAAAATTGACCTTTCCATCCTACACCAAAATATTATCCAGACATCCCAGAAGTCTATCAATCAACCTGAAAGCATTTAATGGAGCCATGTACTAACCAACCAGCCTATAACTGCAAGTGGCCAAGACTCTTTCTACACAGACAGGTGAGTGAGTTCCAGGAAGAAAGGCATAACAATGATCTATCCTTCCACAATCAGCCAGCTTGGAAGAAAACAAATTTATTTACTAGACTAAGAGACTAATAATCTCTTAACGGGTTAATACCAATCCTGTCAGGCTAGTAATTTGTTGGATTCACTTCCAAGACTGGTTTTAAGTGACATATAAAGTCTGTTTTGTGTTTGCTGTAATGTACCAACATAAAAGTTCTAACAAATTTATCACAACAAAAACATTTTCTCATAAATTGGTACAATTTCTTCTGCGGTGAAGCTTAAAACTAAAGGGACCTCAGTTGCCACTCACCTTTCAAACCACAAGCGTTTCCGTGAAAGCTTCACAGGACTGAACCACAGCTGGTTTAACAATCCACCTAAATGTGCTGAAGTCCTACAGGAGATATTTGATGAGAAAGCATTAGAAGGTTTCACCCACAGCTTGGGAAATGTTACTTTTTATTATCCAATAAATGTAACTTTTTCAAGCTCTGGTTTTGCCCCTGTATGTACTACATCCTTTGATGTTTCATAAGCAAAATGAAGAAACTGTCTCTGCTCAAAAACACTGTGCTGACAGATAATTTTCCCCCCCAAACTATGGGAAAGTCTTCTTTGAAATTAGACTCTGGTTTCACCTTCCCATAGGGTTGCAGTTAGGCTGCATCCAGACGGCATGCATCTGTTTGAAGCAACACGGCTGTATGGAAACATCAAATTATCCAGAACAGAAAGGTTGTTGTTTTAACAACCTCCACATTACTTGTGTAACAACCCAGAGAGGTAGATCCAGCTGTAAGTTCATGACTGGTCCAAGGCCTCTCAGTAAGCATCAACGAATATCTATTTAGACTCATGTCTCCCCAGTCTAAAAGGGACATCACACTCTATTCACCGCAGAATTCTTGCAGTCAAAACCTACAGCCCATGAAGAAAGCAGGGGTTTATTTAAGGCAAGATAGGAAGTCATAAGTCATTAGTTTTATGCACCATCATGCATGGATCAGATTTGTGGGAACTAGTACAGTATATATAAAAGTACTGGCACATGCTGGCCATAGAAACATACAGTAGCAAACACGCAAAATCCAGCAGTTATATGGTTTAACAGCTTGCTACCTGTTGTCCTAAGGTGGGAACATCTGGCTACTTATATTTAAGGGACAGACAGGACAGCTCTACTGATGAGAACCTATTCTCATTTGGAGAATAGCCTTTATAATGTGTAGCCTTTATAATTAAAATTGTAAACCGCCCGGAGAGTGCTTGTAGCGCTATGGGGCGGTATATAAGTCCAATAAATAAAATAAATAAATAAATCTCTCCCA